GGGGATAGGGAGAGGGACAGGAGATCTTTCAAATGACATTGTGTGAGGTTCTTCTCATGCCCAGGAGAAAAGACTCTGTAGAGTTGCACAGGTCCCTAGAAAAGAAATGAACTGGTAAACCTCTTTCCAAAACCATAATTTCTCCATTTCATCTCAAGGTTTTATTCTTGCTTCAAAGACTCCTAGCTCATGGCTCTACAGTACCTGAGGCAATTCTCAGCCAGCAGGTACAAGGAGCAGTAGCTCCATGGGAAGGTCCAGACTCTCTCCCCAGTGGGTAATTCTCACTCCTCTTTCCCAGGGACTGTCAGTAAGATCTGGGTGTATCACTTACCTTTGTTCAGTTGTCCTCAGCTCCTCTTTGCAAAGGAAAATTGTAAAACTTTTAGGAGTCCTAGTGGCTTCACTTAAGATGGCAGAAGCTGCCCCAACATGACTCTGGCTGCATTTTTTTCCATACTCATTACTTAAACACCTCTTTGTGTGTCTGACACTATGCGAGAGGCAATGGGGAATTTAGAAAATGAGCAAACAAAACAAAAAGCAGGCACAGATTTTATCCTCAGGGACTTACCACCCAGGAGCCTGTGAACACCTGGCTGCAAATCCTGCCCCTATTTAGAACTGTGAGAAACAATCTCTTCCCTGGGATTAATCTATTCTGGGATCTCTGCTGGCTGTCTCTTCACCCACCTCCCAGGCTCTGGACTGTACCATTCTGGAATCCCTGACACTTGCTTCAGCCCTGCTCAGCTGGCTTACCAATCGTCTGACCAACTTCCCTGAGCTATACCCTGTTGCTTTTGGCTGCAGCCCCTACTGTGGAAGCTCAATCCATTGCAAGGCCTTCCTGTTCTGCCCAGGACCCAGTCCTGGTCCCCTTACCCTGTTGTAGCCCTCCCCTGCTGGATCATGCCATGAGCTGGCCCTGCAGAGGCCTACAACAAGCTTGTACAGATAGGAGGGCTCAGAGTGCCAGTGGTGAATGTGGGCCCCCAGCCCAGGGGAGGTAACACATATCCCTCACAGATACACTCACAATAGTCTGCCTTCATGGACAAGCATGAAAAATATCCCCTGAAGATCCTTGGGCACAGTCCATCATCATCACCACCCCCAGCCCTATCCCTGAATGTTCAAGGCATAACATGTTATGAGGTACAGAGGGAGAGAGGATATCCCAGTAGGACCCCTCCTCTTCAGGCCACACCTTGAGGGATCCCCACTATGCAGACGACTGCTCACTGGATGCCATGGCAATTGGAGCCACTGTTTGGGAGAAGAGCCCAGGGAGAGGGAGGGTTGGGTTGAGTGAGCTGTTTGAGTGTTGTCATGGTAACAGTGGGACATTGGAAGCCTCCAGATCTGGGCCAAAGCCTGGGCCACCTTGCCTGGATCCTTTCTCTGAGCCAACTGTGCGTCCTTCAGCAGTGGGAATCCCCTTTCTTTCCTCTCCTTGTTGCCTTTAAACATCCTGTACACCCCGCAGGTGCCAACTCCAATCACACCCTCCTCAAAGCCTTCCCTCGATTCCTCATTGGAATTGACAGTTCTTTCTTCACTGCTCCGGTAACCATTTGTTTGAATTTCCCTTGGGACACTTACCTATCCATGCCTTATGGTACTTCTCCTGAGCTCATCCATTTCACCAATAAAAAACAAATTCCTTGACTTCACCGTCTCTATCTGTACTTCAATTTTGAATCCCTTATCCAGAGAGCTGGCAGGCTTTCTGCTTCTTGATAGGCAGCATTATCTGAGAAGCCTTTGAAAAGAGAATTTCCTCATGCATGCAGTAGGTACTCAACAAACGTGAATTGAATTGAACTATCTGCTGCTGTGCTGCAGAGAATGGAAATGGCAGTTCCTGGCCTCTTTTGCCTCAATGGTGTCAAAACCCCAGACTCAGTGAAGGAAGAAAAAAGCCAGCAGAGGAGTTCCTCCCTCCAGGAAAAAACAGCAAGGGCTTTTTGTAGTAATAGCAGTGAGGTAGGGGGACACTGAGTGCTACACACAGGCATACGCTACTCAGCTGGCTTGGCAGCTGGAGAATGAAATGATATTGACTCGAGAACACGAAATGTCAGGAACACAGCCAAGCAGCTTTCCAGCAACTTGGGGGTAGTCTCAGTTCCAAGTGATATCATCTAAATATAAATACGGCACCCCATGAGGACAAGGCTTGATCTCCATTTGAGGCCAGCGATCTTTGGAAGTCAGGTCTCAGCTGCTCTCATCTCTGTTTCTTAGTACTAAGAGCCTCACTAGAGACTCAAAAGTAGCCAGTTACCAAAAGAGGTCTGCAGAGTGTGCCTGCTTTGGAATGCCCAAGAATATCTGGTCACTTAATTTCAGTACGCCTTAGAGTTTTTTCATCTATAAAAATGTTCATTCATTAATTCAGCAAACATTTCGAAAGGCAAAGTATGTCCCAGATATTGGGGATGAGAATAGATTCCATCAAGAAAGGAAGAAAGATGATTATACAATTACCCCAATGCCGATTATGGGTTATGGTGACTGTGATAGGTACAGTGGAAGGGACAGAGCAGGGCCTTTAACCTTTAATGAGGTCAGGGAAGTTTTCCCAAGGGGAAGAAGGTTTCAGCTGAGACTTAAAAGATGAATAGAGGTCAGGAGTTTCGGTGATTGTGGTGGTTGGGGGTGGGGTTTGTGGACGGTTGTGAGTTCCACATACAGAAGCTGTGTGAGGCCCCAAACCAAGAGGGGCACCACAGTCTCACAGACTTGGAGAAACAGAAGGCTTTGTAAGCTGTGAAGTGCTAGGGTGCTGTTGCTTGCTCCTCTTTCCATTGCTTTTTAGGAGTTAGTGTACTGAAGAGACCATCACACCAGGAACCTGGAAACCTAGAACCCTGTCTGCCCTTGGCCACTAAGCAGCTTTGCAATTTTGACAGATTTTGAACAAATTTTTCCTCTTTAGATTATTCTTCTGTGAAATAGGGCAAGAAATCCCTCACTTCCTCACATTACGGTGAATTGAAGGCAGAAATGTTTGCAGGAGCCTTTAAAAAATTAAAATGAGTTCGAAGTGCAGGGTCTCGATAGGACTTTCCTTAATCATAAATAAACCCAAGCCCATTGGGGTGTCAGTTCGAAGCAGAGAAGCGATTGCATCAATGCTTCTATCCCCTGCCTCCCATTCCCAAGGGATCGGGAGATAAATTGCAGTTTCTTTCTGATTGGTTTGGTGATATTTCATTTCAGTTAATAATCAGATTTCATCTAAGGGAGAAAGTATGCTATTAATAAAAGTTTTTTTTTAATTGTGATATCTCTGATTACTCTGGCTGGTTAGGGCAGACTGCCAGTGAGCCTGGGGAGGTGGCGGGGGCCAGGAGCTTAATCATGCATGATCCCGAGCTCTGGTAAGGTGTACCTTCAATTACGAGCAAGATCAGATAAGAGAACGTGGTCACTAAAACATCGACACTACTAGGTCTCCTCGGCTCACAACGTTGGGGCCTCCCTGTAGCCCATTGCACCAAACTTAACGTTAGGCCTTCAAAACCCTCTGTAATCTCACCAACTTTGCCTGCACCATCTCATCTCCCACTCTTCCTCAGAAGGTTTCTCCCCTGCCATCCCAGTCCCAAACTCCGTACGTGCTGGCCTCTGTTCCTCTGCCCCAGCATTCCCATCCTATCCAGCTCACCCCAAACCTTCCCTTCCGCCACCAAAATGTCCAACCCTCCATGTGATAACACGCAGCACAGGGACCAGCACAACCCCCATCTCCTCCATGCCGTCCCCTGCTTAAAACCTGAGCCAACGTTGATCTCTTTCCTTTCTAATAGTGAACACGTTTTGGCATTTTCTGATATTTAGTTTAGCACTTAATTGCTACTCTTATTACTGAAAATTAAACTTTGCAGGATATTTTCAGTTTACAGAGAACTCTAATGTATATTATTATTTGACTTTCACAGCAACACTGGATGGTCAATGAATTCAATGTTATTATTATCTTCCCATCTTCGTGGTGAGAAGCCTGAGGCTTACCAGGTTCCGTGACTTGCTCTACCCACCTGGCTAAACAGAGGACTTACAGTGTTCTGAGTTTCATGAAGAAACTCCTTTAGCATAGGAACCAGTTCATACACTTCTTTTTTTCCCACTCAGCACCATGTCAATGACATAGTAGACACTTAGCTAACACTTCTTGAAATGAAATTCATATGCAGTTACAGGGAAAATAATTCAAATGGCCTATTTTATTGATGCAAATAATTGTTATTGGTACTATTAGCCTCTTCGTGTATAAGAACAATATGCTTGCAGCATTATTTTTATGATAGTAACTCAGCAAAAACCTAAGGGAAACTCACACACATCCTATACAAAGCTCCCCTTCACCCCAGGGTCAATCAGGGCGGCCACAAGTGTGGGTACACCACTCCCTCTGCTAAAGGGCAGCATGGCCATACCACCTCCTGGCAGTGGATGGAATGTGCTTGTCAGAACCTGCTGGCCCTTGGAAACCTGGGGTCACTTGTGCATAGAGCCAGCAGACAGGTCTCAGCTCCACTCCACAGCCAGGTAACAGTCCTCCTGGGAGGGGTGGGGTAGGTGTCCATCCATCCAGTCTGGGTTGCAGGCAGGAAGACCTTTCAACACTGGAGTGAGTTTCCCAAGAATTTCAGGCCATTTTCAGTACCTGGCAGAATTGGGGAGTGACTTTTTTTTTTGGCCATATCCCTACATCTGCCTGGAATAAGACCAATTATGACTTATAGTATTTGTACAGTTCGTAACAGCCCAGGCACACATTCACAAGCATTATCTGCTTTGACCTAAGGACACTGTGAGGCAGGTCTTCATTTCCAGCTGTCTGTTTACTTTAGGAAGTACGTGTGCATGATTAAACAGTCAGAAGAGCAACAAAGGACTGAGGGAAGAGCCAGTCTCGCTTCCCAGGGCTGTTCCCAGTTTTCTTCCAAAGATATAACATGTACTATCATTTTCTTGTGTATTCTTCTAGATTTTTCCCCATTTTGGAAATGAAGAAACTGAGATCCAAAGCAGCTGAGTGACTTTCCCAAGGACGCACACTGAGTAAGTCATACCTGCTTCTCATACCACAGCTTCCCCTACACTGATGGCTCCCAAACCATCCTTTAGCCAAGATTTTGGCTTTTATGAAAATGTACAAGAGCATAAACAAATAAAACCAGGTAAAAGTCAAAGCCAGAATAGGAGGCCTGGAGCCCCACAGACTCGCCACCAAAGAGCATATCTGCCTACCCCTGTTAGGCACTGTACAGTTATGGCTCCCTTCTCTGGCTGCTCCAAGCCACCTACCACCCCTAGGACCCTTACCTGCCTTCTAACTGGCAGGGGCAGGGCTCAACATTCAGACTTGTATGCCCTATCAAAGCATTCCAACCCATCGACCTATTCCTTCAAGACCCTGATACCTTGAAGGTTAGTCTGATTTAAAAAAAAAAAAAAAAAGTATTCTGGGCTGCAAGGGAAAATAAAGTCTGAAGGTTGGTGTCCTGAGGCTACACCCTGGAGACAAGGGCTGAGTTCCCTGGCCTCTCCCACCCCAACCCCCACTTCCCAGGGGCCCCAGGTGCTTTCCAGAAAGTCTTCCATAAAGCCTGAAGTCTCCAGTCATGGATAGAGCAGAGGTAGTGGATGCAAAGGAATGAGGGGTCAGGGCGGAGGGAAGGATGTATGTGTGTGTGGTATCATGGGACACCACTCTGCAATCCCCATTTTAAACAGTTTCTTCCATCCATACTCCCAAATCATGTATTTGCAATACCTGCAGTCTCCTTTGGGAAGGTCATTTTAGGGATGGGAGAGGAAGATGTTTGGGCACACGGAGGGTATCAGGGAAGGGGTGAAGCCAGTGTATATTAGGGACAATAATCTACTTGCACAGAGGCAACTAAAGCTGCATTTTATGGGACTGAGAAAATGTCATCTGTATCAAAGAAAGAGGATGTTGAAGCAAAAAGAGGAGGGAAAAAAACAAAAACAGGAAGCTGCTTGCCTGGCACTGGTTGGGTGCTCAAAAAAATATTTTAGCTCACTCATATATATACCCTGCATTCATCAACTATTACTTATCAAAACTGTAATGCAGAGAGGAAGTGAAGGTTCATCCTCAGGCAACATGAAGTCCTTTATGACCCGGAGCCTAGAGAATCTGAAATATACCACATTGGACATTTCACAGAGGTGAGTTGTTATTGAAAAGAGAATATTTCTGCTCATTCCCTCTATGACTTGGCCTTTGCATTTTAAGCCTCAATATTGTAGTAAGATAGCTTTTAGCTTTTAATTGCCCTGAATTTTGTTAACATTAAATGAAGGGAAGAAATGGAAAGGAAAATGGAACCATATCTGTACTGCTTTTGAGTTGCGTAATTGTATATTTTTGCCACTCTATTAGTTCTCAGCTATTCCTGCCTGTAAACCTCTCCCCCACTACCGCTGAGAAAAAGAAATATCAGTCATTCTGTTGTTGCTGCAAAGTTTGCAGAACTCTAAGTTCCCTTCTCTAGTATTAAAGGGAATTATGCAACTTTTAATTTAAGGTCTCTTTTTTAATTACCACCTGTGTGGGAGACCCTGAATCACACAAGTGTTCGGTTGTCCTCTTGCTTTTTCAAAAAACACTTTCCCTCCGAGAGGATATGACATTCGAAGACTTTGGCACTCAGCTGGAGTCAGGCAGAAGCAGAGCTTTCCCTCCATTGGCCTTCATTAGTGGAAGAGAAAAGGCACCGCCTGCCCCAGCCGCTCCTAACTCACAGATGACCATGGAGCCTCAGCTCACGCTTTCCAAAAATAAAACTTTACTTAGATGCTTTACCACACCCACAAAAATTGGCTCCAAAACCTTTTACCAAAGTTTTGAAGAATTGAAGTGAGAGCTGCATAACGGAGTTATTTCACTGTAACCATGGCTACAGGTTTTATTAGCACTAATTCCAGGATGTGGTGAGATCAGAGGTATACAGGGGACAGACAGAAGTGAGCGGTGTCAGAGTGCACACCCATAAATTCCCCACACTGGAAACAGTTCCTAATGACTCTGATTCATGAAAGACCCGGGGAAAGGGAGAGGAGGGAGAGAAGGGTGGAGGACTCGGTGTTAGCTCTGGAGAGGAGAGAAGCTCAGTGTTCCAATTTTAGCTATAATTCAGCTTTTTAGTATAGTCCTCTAAAATTCCACTGCCTTGTGTTTATATTGCAATTTTCCCTTCTCAATGTTCTTTCACGTGTCTTGTCTTTTCTTCACAACAATCCTGAGAGATACCCAGGATGGGTAATAACCTCATGTCTCAGATGAGGAAAGGGCTCAGAAAGCCTATGATTTTGCCCAAGGTCAAAGGCATGGGGGACAACTGAACTGGGACTAGAACTGGGTCCTCTGATCCAAGCTTAACATTGTTCCCACGCTGCCAGCCTTTTGTGTTATGCCCGGGGATATTCTGATATATACTAATTCTTCTTGCAAATATCCCTCCATTCTTACCCTTTGTCTGATTAACCACAGACCAGAGTCAGTCAATCAAACTAGAGGTTAGGGCTGCTAAGTAAGGCTTGCCTTTTGTCCTCATTTATATTTTTCAAGCCCCTGTACAGCTCTCCCCTCCCTAGATTACAGCACAGAGTAGGTAATTTAGTACCTACTCCTGAGGGAGTTTACAATCCAGGGGCTGCAAACTTTAAAATGCCTCCTGGGACCAGGCGGGTGAACAGGACTGGGTGAGGTGGGCAGGGTAGGGACTGGGGTGTGGGGTAGGAGAAACAGAGGACACAGGCCCCTTTAAAGCTCCATCAGACTGTGGCTATGTGGGAAGTCATTGTGGCCAAATTTTAGGACTAGCTAAAGATTGAGAATTCTATATGAAATATTAGGAGGCAGAAAAATAATTTAAAAAGTGACTGTGGGTTGGATATAGCTCCTCGACTGCCAGTTTTATGCCTTTGGGCCCCCAGCAAACACTGTCATATGTGATATGGTATTTCACTTCTCTTCTGGTACGTTTGTTCCTATCAAAATGTGAAGTCCTGAGGTCACAGAAGACAACTTAATCAAGAGTGTCTCGGAGTATGGCACACAGAGCAGTCTTTCAAATGTTAATGGGTGAACACCCCATTATCTTAGAAGAGAAGGTCTGGAGACTGAAGTCCTCAGCCCCCTGAGAATGGCAGCCTCAATTTCCCCATCTGTATAATGGGGATTAAAAGGCCTACCTCCTGAGTTGTGGAATGTGACCACGTCTGTAACACCTTGATAACACACACAGAGTTGCGCACTTAGTAAGGACTTAACAAATGGTGCCTTTCAGATTTAACAGATCATTCACAGTTCCTGTGAAAGAAGATAAGACATTTTGCCAGCCCTCTGTTTTTGAGGTTTTGGCCTCCTGAGGTACGTTAGTCAAAAGAGGTTGGTGAAAGAAAAACAAGTGAACAAGTGAGCATTCTAGCTGAAATGAGGAGGAGAAAATTGATAGTGATGGGCAAAACAAGGCTCCCCTGAGAGACTAGATTCTGGAGGTCAGGAGGACTGAAAAAGGGAGGAGCAGCTGGGAATGAGTGGAGTCGAAGTGAGCAAGAAGGCAGGGGAGAGGCTAATGTGTCTGCCCTGATTCCCTACGAATCGGTTATCTCACTCTTTACACCAATTCAGTGAAAAATTGGTCGAACTCTAATTAGAACAATTAAATAATTCTTTAATAAATAATGTTCTCACCTTTCACACAGTATGAATAGTGTAATAGTAAACACAGTGCTTTACAGCTTTCAAGACAATTTTAAGGCACCCACTGTGTCTCATTTACCCAACCCAGCAACGCATTCCTTCATTCATCCATTCAGCAAATACTTGCTGCCAGCCCACTTTCTACCAGGCACTGTGCCAGACTCTGAGCGTAAGATGACCCAGCACAGTAGATGAAACCCCTGACCCTCTGAGAAAGATGCTGATGTCTCTGTGTACAGAAGAGAAAACGGAACTCAAAGGCGTAAGTGAATGTTCCCGAGACCCCACACCATATTAGTGGTGGAGGCAAAATTCTTGACTATAAGTTTCCTTTTTTATGAGAAGCGATATTTGGAAATTTCCTTGATGATCTCAGGGAAGAAAATATGAGGAAGTTGTTGACTTGCTAACTGGCTGGAGATACTGTGTTCAATCACGTTTAGCACTGTCGGGTATTTCAGGGAATCAGAGAGTCATGATTTTTAGCTATTGGTCCCTTAGAGGAAGCTGAAAAGAACTAATTATTCTGAGTCTGTGACATTGTCCCTCTGGAGACAATGTAATTAGGGATGAGAAGAGAGAAAAAGAAGGAAAGAAGGAAAGAGGAAGGATAAAGGAGAATAAAGGAGCTGGAGATTCAAGGCCTTCTGTAATAAAAAATCAAAGAAAGCCCAAATGAAAACCTTTTAAATCCCTCTGGAGACAATGTAATTAGGGATGAGAAGAGAGAAAAAGAAGGAAAGAAGGAAAGAGGAAGGATAAAGGAGAATAAAGGAACTGGAGATTCAAGGCCTTCTGTAATAAAAAATCAAAGAAAGCCCAAATGAAAACCTTTTAAAATTCTTTCATTGTTCTTAAATCATTCCCTAATTATTTCCCTAGTACCATCTTTGAGAAGAGAGAGGGTGTCTTTTACTTCCCCTGTATTTCCTAGCATGGCTTAATTAATATTTGATGGATTGAAAGATTGACCCATTTGAACCTGAAGTGCAATGGAGATTTTTAATTTTCTCTTCTGCTGAACCTGAAATAGAGCATATAGTAATTAGGAAAGGATCCCTTGTTACCAGAAAGTCCCAGCTACAATGGGCTCTTTGTAACTGAGCAAAAGGAAGGCAGGTGATTGTTTAGGAGCTGATAAAACACAGGCTCCCACTCCCTGCTGCTTTCAGTGATATGGGATTTTCCTGATCATTATTTCCTCCTCAAATGAGTTTTGTGGCTGGAGGATCTGGCTGGACCATGCACTAAATTGGTGGCTAATTATCATCAGAGTCCAGCCACAGATGTGACTGGTGGTCACTCTTCTGTGCCCCTCATTGCTTGT